CCCGACAGCATCCCAGCTGCTCTGCCCCAGGCGTCCCCAAGAGCAGCTGGGGTGCTTCTGGGTTGGTCTCGCCGTGCCAGGAGTTGGCGCTACCGGACCATGCCAGGTTGGTATCGCCGCGCTAAGGGTTGGCGCTACCGGACCAACCCGGCAGCACCCCAGCTGCTCTGCTGCGGCATCCCCGATTCAGCTGCTGCTGAAACTGACCAGCAGCGGCTGAATCAAGGACGCCTGGGGTAGAGCCGGACTATCGTAAGGGGGGGCTATGAGGAGTCTGGGGTGGCATCCCCTCCCACCCCACTCCAGACCCCTCGTAACCCCCCCTTCTGATAATCCGGCACCTTTGGGACCCAGTGGGTGCCGGATTATCAGATATTCTGGACTATCGGAAGTTTACTGTAAATGTGTAACACGGGGGAGGGGAGCAGCTCCCTGGGAGCTGATGCACAGGGGGAGCTGGCTTTTAAGCCACCTGTGTGCTGCTGCCTCTGATATGGGGTAGGGAGGGTGTGTACTCACTCCCCTAGAATTGTCTGTCCCCTAACAACACCACTCACCTCTGCCTCTGTATCAGCGGGCTCCCGCCTGCCTGACTCCTCACTGCTACCTTTGATATAGTGGGGGAGGAGAGGGGCTGCATGTAACTGTGAAGGCCTGGGCTCATTGATTAACCATATACAGGATTAGGCTTTCACATCCATAGTGAGGACTCAGGAACTCATTTTCAGTGTTGTTAGAACATGTGACAGCTGCTTGTATATGATGAGTTTTTAATGGTTCTGTTTGCATAGTGGTTTAACATCTCTCTATAAAAAAAAATGTTCTGCAGGATGACAGTGACTTCATCACTCTGCGTCCTGCCTGCCTCCCCTCTCTCCTTTCCCCAGTGCTTGGTAGCCAGGGCTGTCATGCTGCGGCTTCCTCCTTCCCTGATGCTGGGGGGAGCCCGGGCCATGCCTTGGGCCCCTCCCCCCCAAGTGGCCAAGGGAGGGCTTGATGAGCGTAGCAAGAAGGGGTGCAGCCCCCTATTATAGATAAACAGAGAAGGGAACTTGAGAGAAATGCAAACAGGGTACTGCAAAGTTTTGTGTGTTTTACAAAGGTGTTTTAAAGACGGGTATAATTTCTGAAACTGTTGACATACTCATGGCACTCAACTCTAGGCAGCTTTTTTTTAAAAGTTTATAGGCCCCTTTATTTGCCATAGCCTAGTGATCTATATCTGAATATTTTCAAACAAGTCATGATCAAATTGGTTTTAATATCTGAACTGACCAAACTTTTTAAAAACACAATATTGAAAAATTGTTAACAGACTCTATCAGTGGTTATACCCCTGTTATTGAAGGCCTTGTATGTTATCTTAACCAAAAGATAGTAGCTATAAGGTCTAGGTGTTGTAATAAATTTTATTTAGACCTCATTACAGGTTTGGAGTCTAGTACACCACGATGTTGCACTTGTATTCCTTACCGGTGGATCCCCACCTCATTTATCTAACACTGATAGATAGCTCTATGGACCAACAGCTTTCAAAATTTATTTTGTGCTTTTTTAGGAGGTTCTTATACATTTTTTACATTTCAATAACAACTCAAACATTTTTAGAAATTATGGTATTGGGCTGAAAATTTGTATATAAAATTCAGATAGATGCTAATCAAATCCATAAATCAAGTATTATGAACATTTTTTGGGGAAAAATTTTACAAGGCCTGTCTGGCTGAGTATTTTTAATAACTTACTATTATGAGCACCAAAATAACAAAATGTACAAACTATCACAAGAGGTATAATTTATCATTTCTTCTATCCCTGATTGTTTAAAAAGAACCTCACATCAGATTACAAACTTCTATTAAGCTTTTCACTAATGAATCACTTTAAAAGACATAAAAATCTGCACCAGCAATATTCCTGCTATGTATCCAAGCTCTCTATAGCAGGGAATAAATTATTTTGTTTATGACCGTACTGGACGCTGCTGGTACACAGTACATAATATAAAAATTGATATATTATGTCTCTTTAGTTAGAAAATATTGCTTATTGTATTCATTTAAATAACCAATGAACTTCCAGAGCCAAAGGAAAAAATCTAAAATATTGTAAGTGCCTGATCCCATGCACATGGGATGGTAAAGTTTCTTGTGTGAGTAGTTCCATTATAATCAGCTAATTAAGTCACTAGTAAAGTACACATATGCAAGATTGGGACGAACTGCATTAAACACTGTTTGTTAATATAGGTGACAATTTTTTATTAACTCAGGATACTTTCATACCTGGTATGTGTGGAAGTCCACCCTCCACTGTTTTGGACTAGCACAGAGCTACTGAACTTTGGAAGCTCTTGGGGACACAATGAGAACCACAGCTTAAGTGTGGTAGCATATACATGCAAATATCTCCTTTCACACTGACAGGCATGAATACAAAGATTAAGGCAAGACTAGACAACATGCGGGCCCTGTTTAAGTCAGTTCTGCTGATATTAATAAAATTTAATATTTACCCCATTTCCACCCATATGACAGCACTTTTAATGAGCAATGACAGTCCAGGAATTTAACTACTAAAACACATGTGAACAGAAGACCATTATATTGACTGCTTTTTTGTTTTGGCTCCCGCCCCCACAACCTCCGCGGGCTGCATGTACCCATACTGCACTGTGGGCCACAAACAAATGGGCTGTGGGCTGCATGCGGCCTGCGGGCCACGTGTTGAATAGCCCTGGACTAGCAGAAAGGAAAGATATCTTTTAAAATATATTAATACACTTTCCAAGTATTACTTTTTAAAACAACTTTTAGAAGAATGATACAGGAAACTTATTTGTAAATTATCTGTTTTGTGACAAAAACACCAATTCTTTCATGTTTTTACCAGACATGCCTGATAGTTGTGTCTTTGTATTTTGTTCCAGGACGCTATTTTCCCAGACGTGCAAAGCATATGCTGGTGGTAGAAGCAAAGTTTGATGGTGAACAGCTAGCAACAGATCCTGTTGATCATGCAGACCAGCCAGAGTTTGCCACAGAATTGGCTTGGGAGCTTGATAGGAAAGCACTTCACCAGCACAGGTTATATTATTAAATTCTCAATTTTGTCATGATTTTTATCTTTACAGCCATTGAAAAACTGTATCTGACGTTAAAAATGTTTCCATTACAGTAGTACAATCTGCTATGTTTAATTAAAGTATATATTGTAAGTTTTCCACCATTATATTGCTTCTACAGTACAGATGATAACTGGTAATGTGAGCGTCACTGAAGGAGTCTAATACAGGCAGTCCCCGACTTACGTCGGATCCGACTTATGTCGGATCCGCACTTATGAACGGGGCTTTCTCGCCCCGGAAGTCGGGGCGAGAAAGCCCCGTTCGTAAGCTGCTCCGGTGCCCCTGGTCTG